CCCCCCCCCCCGCTGCTTTAAGAAAGTTCAAAACCTTCCCAAAGATCCATCTCATCCTGGGCACCCTTTTTTTTGAACTATGACCATCTGGCAGACGGTACAGGACAATAAAAACAAGGACAAATAGGCTGAAAAACAGCTTCTCTCCCAGGGAGTAACTATGTTGCATTCTAATGTATAGTGTAATATTAATGCAGTATCAGGGGTTTTCAATTCAATTGTGTAGAACGTGAAGGATGTGTGTTTTTATTTTATTTTTTTATAGTTTTCTTATGTATAATGTATACTGAAGATGGCATTTAATTTTGCTGTACAAGGTGCAATGACAATAATATAAAATAAACTTAATTATATTAAAGTAACCAAAACATCTTTACGATCCCCAAGGCATGTCACAACCTTTGAGCACCCCTAACATTTGGAAATTGAAAGCTGAAAAATCTGACACGCCCTAAATGGAGGATTTGTTCATAACCAAATAACCACAAAAATTCTCCTAGATCAAAAGAACAGCAGAGAAAGGCTACCCATGCAACCCACGAGAAGTAGGGAAGCAAACATCCAGCAGCCCAGAATGTAATCAACAAAACGAAACGCAGCCCCACAGACTCCCTGGTGTCTGAACATGAACTTCCTCCCAGAAACGCCTATTAAGATTTATCAGCCAATCTCCAACTGCACATTCTTCCCAGCAAACCAAAACACAAAGCCAGCACGTGCTGAGCAGGCTTTCAGAGCATGACCAACTTGGGAGTCAAGAAAAAGGAAGTTCAGAGTTTGGCATGTTTCCACAGTGATCCAAGGCCTCTTGAGTCTTGACCTGCTCCATTCTTGATCCTATTAATTCATGTTTACTGCACAGCAAATCTTGCTGGAGACATCTCCCCGGCTATTCAATCCTGCGCACCCAAACACAACCACTTCATATTTCGAATACTCATAACAAAGATTGTTAATAAGTTCACCACTCACACATGGTCAATTCGGAGAAAAGAGAATGAAGAATGAAAGCCTCTGTTTATACAGGTAGTCCTTGACTTACAACCACAATTGAGTTCAAAGCTTCTGTTTCTAAGTGAGATGTTTGCCCCACTTTACGACTTTTCTTGCCACAGTTGTTAAGCGAATCACTGCAGTTGTTAAGTTAGTAAGAAGGCTGCTGAGTAAATCTGGCTTCCGCACTGACTTTGCTTGTCAGAATGTCACAAAAAGGGACCACGTGACCCCAGGACACTACAACCATCATAAATATGAACCCATCTCCAAGCATCTGAATTTTGATGACGTGATGATGGGGATCCTGCAATGGTTGTAAGTGTGAAAAAGGGGTCATAAGTCTCTTTTTCAAACAGTCATTAAATGGACTGTTGTAAGCCAAAGTATACATGAACCATGCTGCCTCACTGCCACAACCTTCCTTGGAATGTCACTTTTGCCCAAGATTTTTTTTAAAAAAAAATCAGATAAAAAAGCGATGTTCCCTTCATTGGAAATGACAGCGCTTCAAGCAGTGAGCATTTTGCTTCTTAATAGGGCCACGCGACAATAATTTGAGTTCATTTCTAAATGCGTTTCCTCAGGGCTTCTTCCATTTAAATCTTTTTCTTAAAAAAACCACATAATATTCTGGCAGGCTCAGGAAAAACAAACCCTCCCTGTTTTAATATTCCTCCAGGAAGCTCAGAAGAGCAATCCCTGTTCCACTTTATTGTTTTATCTTGCAAGGGAGGTTTAAGCCAAGTTCACCAATAACCCCAAGCATTTTTTTCCCCAGTTTAGAATTACTTAACAAGACTGGGCAAATCTGTTTCGTTGAACGCTCAGTGCCTAGTCAAAGGAAGAAGGGTTGTGGACAGCCTCCACAATGCCAAAATCTCCAAAGCAATGCCAGCTCTTGCTTCCTCCAAGTCCTGCCTCAGATACCCTTCTCTTAGTGTAAATCCACGGTTCTTCTACGCTACTGAAAATTTGCCTGCAACTGCAATGCTAAATGGACAGCAACAGCAGAAATTCAGAAACGGCAGAAAATCAGCCAAATGTCGCTTCTCCATTTCTCTCTCCCTTTCCATTTTGCCCTTTTCTGCTGCATTTTTTCAAACGGAAATTTGGCAGCGAGAGGAGGAAACACAACTTGCTTTGCTTTATTGTCCGTTTTTGAGCCTTTTTAGTTGAAGAGTATGGCAGAAACATTTTAGATCAATGTTTCTCAACCTTGGCAACCTGAAAATGATTGGACTTCAACTTAAAGTAGTTGATGTCCATACATCTTAAATACATCTTACATACATTTTAAGGTTGAATTCTGGGACAAAGTACACAGATCTTAAAGTTGAATTCTGGGATTGGAAATCCACACAATATCCTAGTTGAATTCTGAGAGTTAAAGCCCACAAATCTCAAAGTTGCCGAGTTTGAAGACCCCTGCTTTAGATGTACCCAGGATGTATCAGAGGCACGTCTCATATTAAACAATGTTTTTTTTAACTTTGTTTTTCTGATTCAGGTTATCTTTCATGCATTATGGGGCACCAACAAAGCATCTGGTGTCCTATGTAGGACAGAGGAGAGGGACGAAGAGCTTTTAGCCTTCACAATGGCTCTGGAACTCACCTGGGTCGACTGGATCACGGTAAGATCGTTGATGTAGCAGAAGCCAGCCCCCATGGCGGAACGGAGACCGGCGGTCCCAAAGGTCAGCCTGCGGCACAGACGATCACGCAGCTCCTTATTCTTCCCATTTCGTAACAGATTTTCAATCTGCTCTTTGGTTTTAGGATTCTACAAAGGAGACAATCGGCAGGATCAGACTTCACGTGCCATAATCACGTGCTCCTAGTGGGCTAATGACTTTGTAAAGGAAGTCATGCCATCTAGTAGAGAAACTCATAGAAAAGAATATCTGTAGCTTGAACTGTGGGGTCCTTGGTGCCCTCTGTGGTTGGTGGTTTTCTTGCAGGCGTTTCATTAGCAAACTAAGCAACATCATCAGTGCTAGAAGGAAGTGAGGTAAACCGCGAGCAAACCAAACATCCTTCTAACACTGATGATGTTACCTAGTTTGGCAATGAAACATCTGCAAGAAAACCGCCAGTCTCAGAGAGCAGCAAGCACCCCAGAGAAAGTCGTGCTATCATACAATCAAGCAAGCAAGCCACTTAAGCCAAAAACATCTTCACTGCTTGCAAGAGTGGGAACCAAGCCTGACTCAACTCAGCTTCCTGCTTCCCTAGCCGTGCATCAGCAGAGGCTGCCTGAAAACCTTTGGAGCTATTGCAAGGTTTCTCTCTACTGACTCTTCCACGTTGGCCTATTTATTTATTCATTCATTCAAATTTGTTATAGCTGTCCAAATCCAATGGGACTCTTGAGTGGCGTACAGAATTTTTAAAAAGAAAATCCATAAAGAGATAAAAACATAAAACTATGCAGACAGCCTGGAACTAAAACGACCTTAAAGGCACTCCAAATGAACAAAAACAAAATAGGGCTCCTCAAAATACCCTACAGGCAGCCCTCGACTTATGACTACAGTTGAGCCCAAATTTCCATTGCTAAGCAAGGTTAAGTTAAACCAGTCGTGCCCATTTTACAACCTTTTCTTGCCTTTGTTGTTAAACGAATCACTGCTGTTGTTAAGTGAATCGTGTGGTCTCTAAGCAAATCCAGCTTCCCCCATTGGCTTTGCTTGTGGGAAGGTTACAAATAGCGATCATGTGACCCTGGGACTCTGTAACCATAGTAACTACCTGCCGGTTGCGAAGCATTCGACGTCTGATCATGTGACCTGGGGGGGGGGAAATGCTGCAACAGTCATAGGTGTGAGAACTGGTCACAAATCACGAGGTTACAAGGGCACTGAAAAAAGTGACTTCTGACCAGTTTTCACCCTATAACTGTTACAGCCTCACATACAATCACGGGATCAAACTTGGTTGTGGCATCCTGGAATGGCCATTTTCAACCTTCCCAGGCAAGCAAAGTCAATTAGGGAAGCCAGAATCACTTAATGACCGCATGATTCACTTAACAACTATAGTGATTTGCTTACCAAGCTCGTGGGGGGCATAACTCATTTAACAATTGACCTGCTTAACAACATAAATTTTGGGTTCAATTGTGGTTCTATGTAGAGGATGACATGTATTCCATGTATTTGTTTTGTACAAGCCAATAAATAAATGCTCTTGCTTCTTATATTCCACTCAACAACAACCCTGTGAGGTGGGTTGGGCCGAGAGAGAATGAGAGGCCAAAAGTGACCCAACCATCTTTTATGCCTAAGGAAAGACTGATGCAGAAGAACTCAGGTCAGTCCAGCATCAAACCAGCACATTCCTAATGGGCTCATACAATTGCACAAACTGATAATTTAAAGCATGTTTTAAATTCCAAGACATACTTACAGAAATTGTGCAAGCAGAAGGAATTGCAAAATACAAAACAAAAACAGTCTATCATTCTGCACCGAGCCCGCAGTAACAATCAAAGTTCTGAATTTCATCTGTAACCTTCTGTAGCTATAACTTGTGTTTTACTGCTATTTTAATGTGATTAAAATGTGAAAACCATATTTGTGGTTTTGTTTTTAATGTTGTAAAATGCTCAGAGTTGTTGCCTTGAGTTGAGATGGGCAGCAAACAAATTTAATAAATAATAAATACTAATAAATAATAAACTATTAAATACAAAAAACAATCATAATTCAAATGTCAGAAGTCACTTTGATTATAGTCAATAAAAGCCCAGAACAAAGCCACAACCTGTTTATAATTGGAGGAAAATTTTGTTGCTGATCTCAGAAAGCCTTGTTACATGCTATCATTTGTTTTGGCAAATTCTTTCTGTTGAAACCCAAGGAATTTGCAAAGCTGCGTGTTTATGCTTTCATGTTTCTGCCAAACATAAAGATGGCTGGCTGGTAAGAAGATAGATCACCGGGAGTGCAATTTGTACTGCATAACATGCCCTGCAGCTTCTGATTTAGGTGCAACTGCTTAAAGAAAATTCATGCATAATAAAATCCCAGATGGATCACAAGCTGATCTCTGCAGCTCACGGCCTCTTTACAGGCACTTTAAAAAGGCAACGGCATCTAGAGTCCCAGGGGTGAGTGAGAAGCCTGACCTTTACCACAAAGGGGTCAGCCAGCAGCGGGATCCAGGGAACTGCCAGCCATTGGTCAGTTGGTGGAAATTGAAAAATAGGTATTTCAAAGAAAAGAATGTTTTTTATTTTATTAATTAATTAAATTTATTTGCTGCCCACCTCATTTCAAAGCAGCTTAGTTACTTGGCATCCAGATCTGGCTGACCTTCGAAAGAACTCAGCGAATATCAGCCTTGAATAAAAGAACATGCTCTCCTGTTAAAATCATGAAATTTGATGGAGCTGAACGTGACTCAGAACATCATTTGCACATGAATTAGATGAGGTAAACAGGCTGTGTCTAATTCGTGTGCAAATGATGTTCTGAATCACTGTTCAGCTCCATCAAACCGAAGTAAAAATGAAGCGTTTCACAGGACGAGAACTTTACACTGCCTTGAACAGTGAAAGGAGAGGAAAATGCATTTTACATTTTAATAGGAAAATTCTCATTGCGTATACCGTAAATCTTTGAGGTTTATTCATGCATGATCAAATCTAAGTCACTCAAGATTCATGTGTTTCTGTCTGGTATGGCAGAAGAGGAAAGCGTTCAATACCATCACAGAACAATTTTCCCCAATGCATGGATGGGTGTTTCCAACAGGAAGAAATACTGTTCTATTTTTCAAGGTCTTTTAACTTTTCTTGGCAACCCCCCCCCCCCCCGAAAATTTAGGATTATGGATCTTTGCACAGATTAATCTGTGCAAAGATCCATAATCCCAAATTTTCTGTTTTTGTAACATCAGTCAGCAATTATATAGTTTAAATGTGCAAATCATGGAATATCCTGCCTATGGAGGCATGAAATAACACCTCTTTCTCTCTTCTCTGAGAATTTAAGGGAAGGTAGACTGCACGTACCAATCTGATGGTGGTTTAAAACAGTACTCTTTCCTCAAATTACCAAGAATCACTTAAAAAGTCAGAGATGGTCAAAAAAAAAAAGAACAGTACTTAATTTACAGTCATTCATTTAAAGTTAGATCATTTAAAAAAAGTGACATGACTATTCTTCACGCTTACAACCATTGCAGGATCCCCATGGTCACATGATCAAAATTCAAATGCTTAGCAACTAGTTGCAGAGTCCTAGGGGGGTCAAGTGATCCCTTTTGCAACTTTCTGACAAGCAAAATCTATGGGGAAGCCAGATTCACTTAGCCACCATGTTACTAAAATGACAACTGAAATGATATAGATAAAACGAATATACTGAAATGGTATAGGGTGCCCTGCTCAAACAGGGGTTGGACTAGAAGACCTGGAAGGTCCCCACCAAGCCTCTGTTATTCTATGTTCTCCAGTTCACTTAACAACTGTGGCAAGAAAGATCATAAAATGGGGCAAAACTCCATTTTAGCTATCTTGCTTAGCATGGAAATTTTGGGCCCACCCTGTAGTTTTCCATCAGCTGGAATGTTTCCATACAAGGCACAGAATATGACATTTGAGTTAAAAGCCACTTAAGATTCTGCTAGAAAGAGCAATAGGAGGAGATCGCCTTTAGACAATCCTGATAAGATTCAGTAGTTCCCAAATCTCTTTATCTGTGGTCCAACGTAACGATCTGTTTACCCAGCAACAGAAATCCTAGCTCCTGTGAAAAGAATGCCACACTGGCATTGGTACAGACTTATCTGCCCAAATATTAACTACATACTCAAAAGAATTCAACCTCCTGTTAATAAAGATGGTAATTCAGCCTTGTTAAATGTGACAAAAGAATTAGCCAGCTTGAATTTCCTTATTACAAAACCACTTAGCATGTGGTTTACCTGCAATTAGTGCTTTGTCTTTGCTTGCTGTACAATATATATATATGTAATCAGCACAAATAAAACACAAAATATAACAAAGGCAACAGTAAAAATATTGGGTTTCTGTCGTGATGGACTCTTGTGACGAGCCGATTGACAGATGATGGAAGCAGTTATCTTCCTCCCATAATTGGGGTTTGCCGGGAGTTGTGACACTGAATATATACATACATACATACATACATACATACATACATACATACATACACACACACACATACACACATATATACACACACACACACACACACACAC